GTCTGCTTCTCCCTCTGATCCTCCCCCTCTCATGCTCTCTGTCTCCCATTCTCTCTCTCAGATAAATAAATAAAAAAATCTTAAAAAAAAAAAAAAAAGAAAGGATAAGAGCTATCTAGGGGGTTGTTGTATTAGATGAGCTAATCCAGGTACAGTGTCTAGAGGGGTACCTGTACAGAGTAAGAGTTAGCTATAATTATTATTCATGATGCACCCCTGTACCTAGAGCAAGGCCTGGCGCATGAAAGATCCCCAATAACCATTTGTTGGATCACTGAATGGATGAAATACTCCCTGGAAAGAGGTCAAGTGTGGATGAGCAAGTCAAAAGAGTAGCCAGAGCTCTGGCCCCAAGGAATCTAGGGTCCCCCAGTTCCTGGGTCACAGCCAAATCCAGGAGGAAGGAGGTGGGTTATTCTAGGACTCAAAGGCCCTTCTACTTCTCCAAGAGGTTTTATGCCCAACGAAGGGCAGTAAATATGAGTGGTGATTAAGAACATGGACTCTCGAGTCAGATAATTAAATTCAAGTCCTCACTTGTCACTCCGTCACTCACTAGTTACGTGCTTATCTCCCTGTACCTGCCTCAGTTTCCTTATCTGTCAAATGGGGGTATTCACACCTACCCTGGAGGGATGTTGGGTGGCTGAAATGTCATCTGGAGGAGGCAAAGCCTCCTGTACCTGGCCCCAGTCCATAGTGACAGCGATAATGAGCCTAACAAGGTCAACAGCAGCTGACTGTGATGGAGTTCATCCTCTGGACCGTCCTGTGCCGGGTGTTGCTTCCAGCACACTCTCCCTCATGTAGGCTTTGGATGCCTCTGCCAGGGATAGGGCTTGTCAGAGAAGCCTGGGCTCCACTCTCGAGGCCAAAAAGCTGCTGCAAAAAGTCACCTTCTCTCTCTGGCCCCAGCGCAGACGGGCCCCGTGGAGGCGAGACAGCTGCTTGGGAAGCGGCCCCCTGGGGACGGTGGTCTCCAGAGAACCCCCCCGGAGAGTCCCTCCTACACGCCAGCACCAGCAACTCACAGCCGGCGTGCAGCTGCCTCCAAGGCAGTCCCCATTCCCACGGGGGCTGCACACCCCTGTGCTCGGTTTCCCCGGCCAAGACCCGAGGCTGCCAGTGCATCCTGCTTGTGGAAAGGAACAAACATTTACCGAGTCAGAGACTTTCCCTTCCTTGTCTCGTTCACCCTCACAGCCGGCCGCGGCTGGGCACCCTGGTCTCTCCACGCGGCCGCTGTGCGACCCTGAACAAACGAGCCACCCCAAGCTCAGTTTCCTCATCAGTGCACACTACGTAAATATCCTTATTTATTAAACCCATCCTGCAGCGAAGGAAGCAGAGGCACAGAGAGCGGGGTGCATTGTCCAGGATCGTGCAACTAACAAGTGACAAAGCTGGAGCTGTTTGGCTTCAAAGTTCCAATCATTCATTCATCCATCAATTCCATTTCGAAGGCCCACCATGTGGTAGGCATACTCTCTCTCTCTTTGAAAATATCTTCATATGATCTATTTCCCATCACTCCTAAGACCCTAACTTTCAAGTCAATTCCACTTAACCAAGACACATGCAGTCCTTCCC